CAGGCCCGGCCAGGCTCTCTGTCCAGGAGGGCGGGGACCAGGGCAGCACCGGAGCCCGCCGCCAGGACTCTGGCCTGCTGAGCCCTGTTGCTGTCAGCCCAGGAGGAAGGGCCCGAGCCGCCCACTGCACGGAGGAGCAGGCTGAGGCCTGGAGCAAGCAGACTCGGCCCATGGCTGCACACTGGGAGCTGGAGTCTGGGCCAGGCAGTTGGCTGTGGTCACCCCAAGAGGTGCACTGCCTGGGGCAGTGAGGATCCGGGCCAAAGCTACCAGAGGGTCAAAACCCAGGGGCAAAACGAGGCCCTCCATGTTTGGAGTGCTCCTGGGGGCGGCTGCCCACCAGCGGCCCGGGACATCTGGCCCCGCAACTTCTGAACCCCCCAGGTCCTCTCCAGGACCCCCCAGCTCATGGCCCTGCTGGCTTTTTCCCCTTGTCTGAAGGACCTGGACGGCTGCCCCAGCCCCTCCCCACCTTCATCACTGGGGCTTGAACTCACCACGGGGGTCTCCGAAAGGGGAACATATTTGGTTTTGTCTTTTATTTGCTCATTTGAAGAAATTTGAGAGCCCTGCCTAATTGTCTGGTCAAGGCTGCAGACAGGCCATAAACGCTTACACGACCCAGGGAGCCTGAGACCACCACTGGCCTGGAGAGGCCGAACCCCAAGTCTGTCGGGACTTGTCAGCTCGAGAGCCCAGAGTTCTAGGGAACAAGAGTGCAGTCCCTGGCCCTGAGGGCGGGCACCGTGGGGAGGAGCCGAGGGAGGCCAGGGGGAGCCCGCCGGGGCTGGGGCTTTGGGCTCTGAGGCCGACTGAGCCACGGGGCAGTCAGCGGCTGTGCGCTGGTCGGGGTGCAGCAGGGTCAGAGCGGAGCACGAGCAGCTAGCTTACACTTCCCAGCCTCCTTTGCAGGTGGGCGTGGCCATGTGACTAAGTTCTAGCCAACGGGGAGTGTGCACTGTATTTTTTTCAGTTTTATCATAGGGGACATGCACTCGCCAAAGAGAGAGAGAAAGAGAGAGAAAAGAGAAAGTGAGAAATCACCCAGGGGGTGGGCCACACTGCAATCCCTTCTCCATCCTGCTCTGGGGGTTTTAGGCCCACGTGCGCGCCTGGTGTATTTCTCAAGCCGCCAGGTCTGTGACTCGAACGCACAGTTGACCACGTGAGATCCAGCCACACAAACCTTGGCGCCACCTGCTGGTCTAAAGCACAGCTTCAGAAGGGGCACGCCCCACTTGGCTCCTCCCTCTGTCTGCTGCTTAGCTGGGGATTTGGTGGAGTTCCAGCAGTTACTGTCACCTGAGGCAACCCTGGACAGAGAGGAGCCAGCTCCCTGGCTTCGGGGAGCCTCACCTTCCTGAGAAAGTGCCCATCTGGGAGCCGTGCGGGCCGGGCAGGGGCCGGATTCCACCTGGCTGACTGGTGAGAATCCTGCCCCGTGGCTCAAGAAGGCACTCCGGGCACGGTGCACCTGTGCCCAGGTCCTGACCAGGTGAGACAAGGACAAAGGCGAGCAGGGTAGCCAGGCCCCACCCGGGCTCCCTCTGTAGACGCAAGCCCTCTGGCATAAAAAAGCCGTGGTTCTCTGGGGTCCCTGTTACGTGGCCACACCCCCCTCACCATCAGGCGGGGCTGCGGGAGGACACGCTGCAGGGCTGGGGTCCGCGGGCCTACGCCACCCCCACTTTCTCTGACCACTAGTGGCCCAACCGGGGGTTGGTCCTCTTACAGCCCCTTCAGGTTTCCAAGATGCGAATTAAGCCTTCGCCTTGCGCCCTGCCGCTGAGCCCTCGCTTCCTCCCAGCCTGTGTAAGGCAGGCTCTTCTCGGACGTGCTTCCCACGCGGCGGTCCCCGGAAGCCTCCCACTTCCCTTCACGCTGATGTAGACGTCCCCATTGGGAGGGTCTCTGCCGCCCTCCCGCGGCCGTCGGCTGAAATGCAGACCCTCTCCCTTCCGGAGGGCAGTCCTGCGTGACAGCAGAAGAGCTGGGGAGCCAGTGGTTCTGCACGTTTGTGTGAGGAACTGGCCAAACGACATACCGAAGACTCTAGGCTGCTCTCCCCTCTTCATAACAAATTGCCCTCGCCCAAGAGAAAGCAACCCCGCGGGCACGGTCGCGCCACACACCCCTCTCCATTCGTCTCTCCTTGGGGACTCTGCGCAGACACATGCCCGAGTGGCTTCCAGGCCTCCGGGGATGGGATTGGAACCGCGGTCAGCGGTGTGGAGTCAGCTCCCTTAACCACAGGGCTATGCGGCCAGCCTGACTCTCCTCTCCTTAAAAAGAGCCCAATCGGTCGGGATAGAGCGCTGCGCTCCAGCTCCAGCGTGGCTCCTGGCTCGGGTCCTGGCCGCATCTGCACCCACCCTTTCCCAAACAAAGCCACCTTCCCCGGTCCTGGGCGCGCGCCCTTGGGGGACCCCCAGCACAGCGCCAAGCAGGGAGCTGAGAACTGGGAGGGAGTTGGCCCTGGCCTGGCACCACTGAGGCCACTGGGCACGCAGCAGGAGCGTGGGACCACCCCGTCCCGTGGGGAGAGCCTCGGGGTGTGCTTGGAGCCAGCCGTGAGAGGTCGGGGTGGTGTTGCCCCGTCAGCGAGGATGGGCAGCAGGGAAGACGTCGGGGTGTGCCTCCGCCTGGGTCAGTGCTTGTCAGGCAACCCGGGGTATGTACGAGGGGGCGGTGGAGAGC